ACCTTTCATATTAATTTCAGCGCGTACGAATACATGATCTGGGTATTGAATTGTCAAAATTAGAGCATTTATTTGCCAGCACAAAAATGTTTGTTCTAATTTCTCATTTGATTGGCTTCTAAACTGGTGTTACAACGTCTATCAAATGTCTGTTATCATACAGATTTAATAGTTTTATTTTTGAAAAAGTTGTGTTAATAAAACATGATGTACCCTTATCGTATAACATAACTGATGACATCCCTCTTACATAATACTTGATAGACAGAATCAGACAAAGTACTACAATGTAATATACTTATTCGAATTTCCTAGCCTTGATTAGAAAATTTCGAATTAACAAAACGATATCTAAGACATATGTACCTCCAACATGGATTTGAGAAATGCAGGTTGATAAAGAGTAGGACAATTATGGTTGCAGTCGTAATCTGATTAGGAACAGATCTATGTTGTGCTTTTTAAAATACGATGCTTGTTAGCATACTTAAAGTTATTTGAGATAGTGACATTAGCCGGATTGACCTTTCTATAAGCAGAAGACTTTGCTCGAGCTTGAATAACGACAGAAAGTGAAAAGACAACTTCAGACAAGAATTAAGGCGGTGTTAGAGGGAAACATCATACAGCTGTTTCATCCTTAAAGGACTCATCAGTGATATTGTGAGGAAAATACAGTGATCGAAAGAAAAAGGCATAGTCTAGATGGGACGGTGCATTAGCCCCATAACTTAGAGACAACGTCTAGTACATTTATATAATATGAACTGTGACACTATTAGAATGAAGTAAAATGTGGCCTGTAGGTTATGACAAATCTCCACCAGCAGTGCATACCTTTTGCGAATCATGCAATTGGGACAGCAATCCTTCAGGGAAGACACCAATGTGAGACATTATATTTACTGGTCACATTTACACGAGTAGGTTTGCATGGCTAACACATTAACTACACATGTAGATACAGAATTTGATCATATGCTACTTACAGTCTGTATATGGTGAAGAATCATTGCTTGTTAAGCAGATTGTCATGCATTAATGCTCACTAGCTAATTTGTAGACTGTATCTTTAGTCACCATCACATCTAAAGGTTAATATGGACTAGTGTAGGTTTCTATGGATCATTGCTGTTTAACACTCGTGTATGTTTCTATGGATCATTGCTGTTTAACACTCGTGTAGGTTTCTATGGATTATTGCTGTTTAACACTCGTGTAGGTTTCTGTATATCATTGCTGTTTAACACTCGTGTAGGTTTCTGTGGATCATTGTTGTTTAACACTCGTGTAGGTTTCTATGGATCATTGCTGTTTAACACTCGTGTAGGTTTCTGTGGATCATTGCTGTTTAACACTCGTGTAGGTTTCTGTGGATCATTGCTGTTTAACACTCGTGCAGGTTTCTATGGATCATTGCTGTTTAACACTCGTGCAGGTTTCTATGGATCATTGCTGTTTAACACTCGTGTAGGTTTCTGTGGATCATTGCTGTTTTACACTCGTGTAGGTTTCTGTGTATCATTGCTGTTTTACACTCGTGTAGGTTTCTGTGGATCATTGTTGTTTAACACTCGTGTAAGTTTCTATGGATCATTGCTGTTTAACACTCGTGTAGGTTTCTGTGGATCATTGTTGTTTAACACTCGTGTAGGTTTCTATGGATCATTGCTGTTTAACACTCGTGTAGGTTTCTGTGGATCATTGCTGTTTAACACTCGTGTATGTTTCTATGGATCATTGCTGTTTAACACTCGTGTAGGTCTCTAAGGAACATTGGTCACTAACAAATGTCTTGAGTTTTATGGATCATTGTTCACTAAAGCACGTCTTGTTTTCTAGGAATAATTTCTAACTAACACATGCCTAGTTTTCTATGGAACAGTGCTCACTAATACACTTGTACGGTTCGATGGATCACTGCTCACTTAAGAATGCGTAGGTTGCTATGCAATTGATATGGATCTATGCTTAATAACACATGTGTAGATTTCTCTGGGCCTATGGTCAATAACGCTCGTGTAGGTTTCTCTGGGTCTATGTTCTGTAACACACGTTTAGGTTTCTGTGGGTCTATGCTCAATAACGCTCGTGTAGGTTTTCCTAGGTTTACGTTCTGTAACACATGTGTAAGTTTCTGTGGGTCTATGCTCAATAACGCTCGTGTAGGTTTTCCTGGGTTTATGTTCTGTAACACATGTGTAAGTTTCTGTGGGTCTATGCTAAATAACACACGTGTAGGGTTCTGTGAGTCTACGTTCTGTAACACGTGTAAGTTTCTGTGGGTCTATGCTCAATAACGCTCGTGTAGGTTTTCCTGGGTTTATGTTCTGTAACACATGTGTAAGTTTCTGTGGGTCTATGCTAAATAACACACGTGTAGGGTTCTGTGAGTCTACGTTCTGTAACACGTGTAAGTTTCTGTGGGTCTATGCTCAATAACGCTCGTGTATGTTTTCCTGGATTTACGTTCTGTAACACATGTGTAAGTTTCTGTGGGTCTATGCTCAATAACGCTCGTGTAGGTTTTCCTGGATTTACGTTCTGTAACACATGTGTAAGTTTCTGTGGGTCTATGCTCAATAACGCTCGTGTAGGTTTTCCTGGGTTTATGTTCTGTAACACATGTGTAGGTTTCTGTGGGTCTCTGTTCTGTAACACATGTGTAGGATTCTATGGGTCTATGCTCAGTAACACATGTGTAGGTTTTAGTGAGTCTTTGTTCTGTAACACATGTGTAGGATTCTATGGGTCTATGCTCAGTAACACATGTGTAGGTTTCTCTGGGTCTCTGTTTTGTAACACATGTGTAGGTTTCTGTTGGTCTATGTTATGTAACACATGTGTAGGATTCTATGGGTCTATGCTCAGTAACACATGTGTAGGTTTCTGTTGGTCTATGTTCTGTAACACATGTGTAGGATTCTATGGGTCTATGCTCAATAACGCTCGTGTAGGTTTCTGTGAGTCTATGTTCTGTAACACATGTGTAGGTTTCTCTGGGTCTCTGTTTTGTAACACATGTGTAGGTTTCTGTTGGTCTATGCTCAGTAACACATGTGTAGGTTTCTCTGGGTCTCTGTTTTGTAACACATGTGTAGGTTTCTGTGAGTCTATGTTCTGTAACACATGTGTAGGTTTTTGTGAGTCTATTTTCTGTAACACATGTGTAGATTTCTGTGGGTCTATGCTAAATAACACACGTGTAGGGTTCTGTGAGTCTACGTTCTGTAACTAGTGTAGGTTTCTGTGGGTCTATGCTCAATAACGCTCGTGTAGGTTTCTGTGAGTCTATGTTCTGTAACACATGTGTAGGTTTTTGTGAGTCTATTTTCTGTAACACATGTGTAGATTTCTGTGGGTCTATGCTAAATAACACACGTGTAGGGTTCTGTGAGTCTACGTTCTGTAACTAGTGTAGGTTTCTGTGGGTCTATGCTCAATAAAGCTCGTATAGGTTTCTCTGGGCCTCTGTTCTGTAACGCATGTGTAGGTTTCTATGTGTTTATGCTCAATAACACACGTGTAGGTTGCTGTGGGTCTACATTGTTTTCTCAATTTGTACAAATAGTTTTGTGTGTAAATTGATTGTTTATATCGGTTTGTGTCAACTGTTTTCTATCTCGATGATATTAGATGTTTTGTCACGTCAAAATTGCAATATCAAAGTCGTATTGATGAATTACCTTTGCACACCGTCCGTGCGTTTCTTCCGATACATACTATACTAAATGTGACAATTGATTTTTGTCGTCAAATCATCATTTTATTTCTTTGCACTTGAAGCATATTGTGAACACCAAAGACAAGATATACTTCTGTAAATCTGTTTGAGAAACAATAATTAAGACGTTTGTTTCTGGTTATTACAATACATATATAATTTACATGTTTCACGTGACAAACGACACGAATGACTGGTTTGTAATTAGTTTTTTTTTATTCTTTCATTTCATCAATGTTCTAAACCGCGTGTATGCGTGGAGTAGGGATACTCGTGTTGTTGTAACGTAATGGTGGATAGTGGTATTTTGTTTAACACTGTTACAATGTGACACCATGTAAGTTCAGTACTTAAGGTAAAGGAAGTTGAAACTGTGACAACAGGAATGTGTCGGCGCGTGGCAGTTTAACACTGTTTTAGATAAATATGTTCTGAAGGATCGGCTAAAATCAGGTGAACGGAAGTGGAAAGAAACACATCCTAAACGTCAATATATGGACTGAATACCAATTCTATCCAAACAAGTACTTTCGTTAATCAATCAAGTACAAAAGCTAAAATATAAAGAAAATTGATTGGTCAGTGTTACGACAAGGGGAGTGTTCAAGGCATGGACTTCTGAGTAGGTAAGCTAATTGCCGAGGGCTCGGGGTTTGCGGGGCAGTCTTTACCCGCTGCGTGTAGTACCGCCACCCACTCGTGACGGGGCGGTCTGGGGACAGGATGCAGTAGGGTACATAAGTTCCCTGCATCATGACTCTGTGGTACATATGTACGTTATTACCACCGTTGGAGACGAGTGTGCACTCCCGTAGCCGTGATAGGCAGGCAGAGTTGAGCTACACACAGCGAGGAAAGGTGGGCCGCTTGGCTGTTCAGACCAATGGTAGTTTAGTTAGTATGCCATTTTCGACTGCGCGCTTTCACTCGCCGGCAGCTGCTTGTAACTTTTAACGTCAACCATCTGGTCGGCCTTCAAAAATTATAAGTATTGGGGATGGAATAGTTTCGTCCAAAACATACGTACACCACCAGTACGCTGTTGGTTATATATATATACACACTGATATACGAGTTTAATTCTTACCGGATTAACATGCGTAATGATGGAGTTATGCCGTGATGGTATTATTTCATCTACTTAAATTCGTAGTTTGAATGTGATTTTTTTTACATCTACCGAAAAAAAAATATAATGATAATAAAATCAATGCGGGATTTAATGTTGACCAATCATGTGATTTTTAGCACCAGTATTCCAGATTCATGGTAACCGATTGCTGTCATTATAAAGATTTTTTCTGTTTTTCATTGTGCAAGGAGTGGACAAAATGTACTTAGTCTTACTATGGGCGACAGACCGACGTCAATGTTGTTCTTCGTAGTGCTGGTGTTTGTCGCTATTGTGCAGTCATTGCCCCTCTCAGACAAACTTTATGGGACACACAATGACTATGGCAGTCCGGCAAACGGGGGGTCGAGCAACACCTTCAAGAAGGAAACACGCGACAAATACCCAGCATCACCACATACACATAATGAATTTGGTGATACGGACACAAAAGGATACACTGGAACTGCCGACACAGGCGCGTTAGAAGAGATCAATCACCAGGCAAGGGTTAATATTTCTTTGGATGGAAGTGTATTAAGTGAATATGAAAAATCTAACGATACAACTTTGGGGGATATTTCAAGTATGTCGGAACAGTCTCGTCACAAACGCTCGGGAAATCCTTTTCAAAACAGTCACGTGATTCCATGTAGTTTCTCTGACAGGCATTACTGTCTCAACGCTGGCACGTGCGTCCTGGTGGCCGCACTGGACATCAAAACATGCAGGTAAATATATTTATATATAGATATTGCTTTTTTCTCTGTAGGGGCGTCTACGTTTACAGGTAAGCTTCTCTTTTGTACTTTGCGTCAAGGATAAAGAAAAATCGAGATAAAATTATCTGACTTTCGTTATAAACGACAAATAACACCCGCGTTAAAGTGACTTGTTCGAAATATTGTACCTTGTACCTTGAAACTGCTGCCAAGGGCGACAAAACGTTTCATATATTCAATACAATTTTCTCATTATCCTTTACGTGTTTGTCTGTAATTGTAGTACTTGTTGGTAGTCAATCCTTAATTTACTGTAGTTCGTATTAGACATCCAACCTGATTTGAAATCTCATATGTCAAGCCTCCAGCACCGAAACTAAACACAGAAACGCATTGTAATTCTCCAAACACACATATTTAAAATCCATTAATATAATGAAAAATTAAATAAACTAGTCACCGAGAAATGAAAATCTAGAAATAATCCCAGTGTTACGTGTCATTCTGTGTACATTATCGTCACAGGTGATGTGTTTGTGCAAACTATTGACATTTTCCTAGAATGGCCCTGTATTGTCAGAAGGTGACTTGTAAGCGACACTTAAATGGTTTGTTATCTAGATGGATGGTATGTTGACTTGTAAGACAATCTAAAATGTAGCAATATCACTACCATTAATGGGAAATGTTGTCGATGTACAGGGTAATAGTTAACCTTCTATATGATATCCATGCCATACAGAAACGTACAAAGGAGTGGAAATAAAAAATAGTTTCAAACTTAGAAAGATCAGTCAAAAGTTGAATAATAACGATTTAAAAAAAAAAAAAAAGCAAAAATTTACCAGAAGAGCATGCAAGCTGAGTTAGATTAAAGGAAATGAAACACTGATTGATGGCTATTTCAAAACGAAAACGTAAAACATTGACTGATTTGGTCTTTAAATAGTCATAAAAATCAAATACGTATTAGTGCTGTTCTTGAACTGAGGAACTGAAATCAAACATTAAATGACGGAATTCTCAAGGCAAGGAAACGCAATGAACTTTGATTCGGCAAACTTTCAAGTTTTCAAACAATGACAGTGAAATCGACCATCCTTTGATAAAGATTTCAATATGATGAAATGAAATCTAACGCTGATAAATGAAGATTTCAAACAGTGAAATGAAGCTTTGATGAAGCTACCAGAGAAAATGAACTAATGGGTAAATCTTTTGAACAGATAAAACGAAGCCAAGCACGCGCTTAATGATGAAACTCTGAAGTGAAATCTTATATTCAGTGATGAAGATTTGAAACAAAGAAAATGAAAATCTAACATTCAGGAAGGAAACTTTGAAACAGAACAAATGAAATTTAACATCCACGAACGAAGCTTTAAAATGGAGAAAGTGAAATCTAACATCCATGAAGGAAGCTTTAAAACAGATAAAAGGAAGTTACCAGAACGAAACTTTCAAACAAAGAAAATGAAATCAAGCACTTATATATGAAGCTTTGAAACAGACACAGAATGTAAATCAAATATTCATTGAAAAATTAGGGGAAAAAAATCAGTTTTTACACACGCACACCAACACACACACACACACGCACACACTGGTTACAGATTACTATATACGTTGGGGATTAGTCTACACTTTCGTCCTTTTCTGCCATTAAGACCAGAAAACATGCATTACAGAGTCAATATTTGATCTTGTGCGTTAACATTTGCCTTCGTTTCGGTCTATGTGTTTTTGTCGTGGTAGTTTTCCCTATCTTTGATCTTATTGTTTTCTATTGTAATTTCGAGGGCTTACGACCTATCTATAGGTTCTGTTATAAAGTATCACGTAATGTGGCTTTGTCAAGGTCAGTATTACGTTTAGTTCCTCAAGTTCATTTCATAGAATTAAATTCTTAGCAAATACTAATGCAAATGTGTTCTTAGATCCTTTGTGGCAAAATTTAATTCAAATTACTTTTCGAAACCAAGCTGTTTAACGTATTTGTGTATGGAAATAAATAAAAAAAAACCACTGAATCATAAAGATATACTGACATTTTATAAAACTGTTTCCTGTTTTCAAAGTACCTACACAGAATGTATGGTTTCTGTATACATATATTACAGGAGTGGTGTAGGTCATAAGATATACAGGGAAAGAAAACGATGTGCTATTTGGTGTATAGTTCAGGTCGTAAATATTGACATACAAAGTCAACACATGTTACGATGTTCTGTGGTATGTAATTTTTATCAAAAGATATCATTGGCATTTTGCCAAAAACTAATTAGCTAATATAAGAAACAAACGATTCGTCTTGTTACTGAAAAATGTAATGATTCATTGCGTGACTCCTTGTGCTTATATACATATACACAGATACATAAATATTACTATGTTTTCTATGTCATTATGTGTTTGCTATTTCCATCCAGTAATTCATTAAGTGTAGCCAACAAATGATACCCAAGATGATGTATGAATACAATACAGACATATATAAACATTTATCTATACAGGGAGAAAGTGTAATATCCATATGAAAAACATAATATTTGCCCTCTCTGCCAAATAAATTTTATTGTCTTATACAAAACCAGTAAAATCCAGCAGTGATTTTCCAATAAAACTTGATAGCAAATGTTTTGTGCTAATCAGTACCATATGTCTGTTCTCTTGCTCCTTTACTAAAGGAACTGTTTTAACATTATAAAGTTAATTATAGCCAAACTAATTAGGTAGCGATGGGTTGTTATATTATTATAACGACACGGAAAAATAAAATCGAATTTATGAGATCAAGAGTGACGCCAAGATGCTGTGATAACATTATAAAGGTCTGCAGAAGTACAGTTACACTCCAAATTCAACAGTATTATATGTAAATAACATCCCATTTTCATTCTTAATATACATTTTTTTCGTATAGTTTGCATTGCCAAAACAAATATCCTTCAAAATTCGGTTTACTATTCTCACATCAGACTGTTGAATGCACTTAGACATCGCATTTTGATGGTAAAGTTGGGATTATTTCTAACATCTTTTACATTTAATGGTTAACTGAAAACCTATAACAACAGGCTTCCTTCCTGAATCAAAGGTAGTCTTGATTAGTAATCTACTGGTACATGCTCTCTCATTAAAACCTGGATAATCTTGCTATCCGAGCTGCAATTGACCTAGTGTATGTGTCCAAATGATTTCCGCAATGCAGAAATAAAAAAGCTATTTTGCATATAGAGAAAAGGCTATTAAGCATTGGCGAGGACTATCATTCACCTTTACTAATTGCCAATCAATCTGTCACTAATACAGTAAATTGACATGGTGTCGCTAGTCCTTGGAACACGTCATTAGGCTCATAGATTGTCGCACTTTTTTCTATTCTGTGATAGTTGTATATTGATTATCAAATTAGGTACTCATGCATGTTCAAAAGGACGTGCTGAGCAAATCCTGTGCTATAGATGAAAAAATGACTGGTGCTTTATGTCCGCACGGAACAATTGCATCTATTGTTAATGGATATCAAACAATAGACTAAAATCACGACCATGTGATAATGTTGGATGTTTCAAATAATTTTCAAGATGAAATAGATCAAATCCAAAGACAATAAGAACACACACACAAATACAAAACAAAACAAGTCTAAAAACCGGAAATGAGATCTGTGACACTGTTTTGTGCATGACCAATATATTAAGCATCTAACTACTATCATGATCAAGTAAAAGTATGAGTAAATATGTAAACAGTGAATTAGATTATATCATTATTATGTGTTCTTGACACTCTGATTTACCCAACTCGCCTGGCCGATATACTTGGTTGGTGATATTTCGTGTAACACATTTTTGCCCAATCCATGTTGTCAATGTAGGTTTCCGGTAGCTTCCGGGTTGTGTACTGTATAACGTAAAGAATTCGCTGGTATTTTCGCGTTATTATCATTTCGTTCAGACACGTCGTCATGGTAAGCCAGAATGTGTGAAGTGATTTAGATTGTGTGCATACATACTTTTGGTTACAGAAGAAACTAGGTTGGCACTAGCACAAATACAAAATGAATTATCCATGTTACTTAGTATGACTTTCTGGTAAGATGTATAATTTTAAAAAATGATATCGGTGTAACTGTTGCATACGATTTTTTCTGTATTTTTTATTTGTTTACATATGTTGTTTACAACAATTTGTCACTTGGATACATTATTGACAAATAAGTAATACACAAGTTCTGGTGAAGTGACCGTCCGGATGTTTTGTATCCGGGATGACGCTCCGCCGTCTTCTGTTATCAGGTTAGGTCGTTTTTCGTAAAACAGAAAAGCGTGAGTGAAGCATTTTCCGTGATAACGTGTCTACGGGGGTATTTACGAGAGCATACAAAGAGGATACACGTGTTCATCTTGTACAGACTTACTCCGTGTAAAAACCCACTCGTGGACTGATGAAAACTCTTCTGGAGGAGCTAGAAAGGCGTGTTCGTATGTGTGTCAATGGAGAGGTATACACATGCTTTAGCTAGTATTATAAGTGAACTAAAGACTAATAATACAAATTGTGTAAACAGTTGATAAAGAATCCATGGGTGGTATTGAGCTACAAGTTTAACATCTGGATGTTAAAAAAGCAAAGCAGATCTAGGTTGATGCACCAAAACACTTACAAATAAGAAAAAATAAGACTTTATTTAAAATAAATCCTTTCATTATCTTATAGTGCCCTGTATCGGTAGTAGGACGGATTAGTAACGGATGTAACAAACTAGTATCAACTCAATTTAAATTCTTTATAATTGTTGTATTTATTAAAAACTCTTAATGCTTGTTAACAGTTTTATGGTCAAATAATACTTTTTGCACGGTATGAAATGTCTTATTCTAACTGAGGGTAACGCGTTCTTGTCATGATTTTAAAACACAACCACGCACTGTTGAAAAACATCTTATCAAATATGTGATTGAAAAACTTCAATTACAACAGGGCAAGTGTATCCATCTGCTTTA